GGATAGCGTCGCTTCGCACGTTGTTGTTTGTTCCTTTGCGAAGTAAAATAATCAAGTATTTTGAATAGTTTATTCGAATTTATAATAATTTTACTGGACATTATGTCGCAAGATTTCCTGGAGAAGATTGCGGAGATTGTATTAAAAGTGGCTGGGAATCTCAGTGTTCTAAAAGAGGTAAGGATTTAAAATTATACGCGCAAACAGACGAAAGCTATTTTTGAATTTGCCGCGTAAACAGTAAACATATTTATAAACAATAAACAGATATATTCACAGTCATTAATACTCATCATTCCCGATAAATGAACGACGTTGATATAAATATATTATATCGTGGTTATACTATAAGCACTATGCAATATAAAGTGTGATATTGACGTTGGCTATTAAAACCATGGTCAAATTTTAGCATGGATTCAAGTTATTAATATATAAATATGAACAGGAAACATCTGTACTCAATCTTAGGATTATGATATACTAAATCTTGGTTACTGGATATACATTAGTTTTGATTAAGAATTACGATGAAATAACTGTTATATTGCCTTTTAAAAAATTTTTACATGCATCCTTAGATGGTGGATTAACAAGTGGTGATGTTCAAGTCTAAACCTGTAATGAAAGAGGTCTCATTGGAAAGTAATATCTGTGGTAAGTAATGCATTATAAGGAATTGTGGAATGCTGTTAGATTATTCACCTAAGCATATGGCTTAATTTTTAATGTATAATATAATATAGCTACCGGTAATTATATACCTATTGACCGATTGATTATATACCTATTTATCATGTAATAGATAAAAGGAAAAATCATTGACAGCTTACCAGATGACTACCCTAATTTTATATCTGTCAGAGCATGCAAAACTGTGCATAGCATGCCAATAATATATTTCACACATATTATGCACTGCTTAGTTTCTTTTAACATTTGTTATTTTAATTCTGATTTCTCAAATATGCTTGCTTTTTTGTTTTATTAGAAACATGGATTGAGGTAGTGAGCACGAAAACTCAGTGGAACATTTCCTATGCCAATGGTTAATTGGACCCACAGTGTTGCAGCACTTAATTTTCAAGGACAAAAATACTCCAGGTGATCTTATAAATCTTTTCATGTTTGGGATGATATGTTAAGAACAGCAGGTCAATAATCAAAGGGGAACATTGCTCAGGAATGAATGACTTTAGCTTATGTGTAATAATTGAAGACATGCAGTGAGTTTGCATAGATGTGCTTGTCTTCTTGCATGAATATTTTTGTCCAACTACTTCTGGGTTTATACCAGGGCTTAATTTCATTATCTTGAGCTTTATCGGATACTTTCCTAAACTTGCAAATTGGCAATTTTTAATTAAGTCCTTGAAAGACCTGTTTATTTGAGCAAGGTATGCAGAAACCCAGCAGTACTTTGAAAAAACTATTTTTGTCAGATGTTAATGTATGGCATTTATGTATTAGTATGGCCACTAAATAAGTAGTTTTATTATTTTGAACTAAATAAGGTATAAAAATAATGTATCTGTGATGTTTCAAAGCCTGCTAATAAACTTCATTACCGCTAGAAATGTTTTCTTTTGCCCACAAAATTTTGTACTTATTATAAGTAAAATTATTCTTGTTTTAAGCAGTTTTTTTCTTATTGTAACATTCTAGGTAAGAATTGTGTGAGTAGGTTTCTTAATATACAAGAATAATTTTGCTTGTTTCAAGCAATATGTTACTTAAAACGAGTATTTTTTCTAGAAAAATTCTTTAGAAAATTCTTGTTTCAAGAAATTTTTTCTCAAAATGAGATTCTAGGTAAGAATAATATTCTTGCCTAGATTCTTGCCAAGAATAATATTCTCACTATACTGACAAGAACAATTTTACTTGTTTCAAGCAATTTTTTGCTTGAAACAAGTATTTTTTTTCTCAAAATAAGAATCACGATTTTGCTGTGTGATGTCAGCATTTGCCGATGACGTTGACTGTAAAGGAATCGTTAACTGTAAGGTACTTAATATCAAGGATGCACTAAAGATGGTTCACAGCAATGACAGCATTAATTGCAAATAGTACAGAATGTGATCTAAGAGTTTTCAAAACCTCGTCATAAGTCAAAACATTTCGAAGTGTCCTGCAAACACAAAATAAGTGTAAATGCACACAATTTTGGTGTAAATCAGTACATTATATACCCACAAAGTGCAAATTTTCCCTTTGAGGTGTATTATTACACCAATATTGTGTTTTCTCAACACGGTACCGCGGTTGAGAGTATAGCTAAAGTTAATCTTCTTTGGCGTAAATTTACGCCAAAAGTCGGTAAATAAACACCATTCTTAAGCTTGTGTAATAAAGCACCACTTTGGTGTAAACTTTATCGCTATAATTTTGTGTTGAATGAGAGCTTAGGCGTGCATGCATTGCACTGGAACCTTTTGTTGGGAAAAAATTGCAAATGGATTATCATTTTTTACATTCCTAAGTAACAGTTATGAGCAATAAGTAATAAACGGGCAAAGAGAAGTCAGGAGCAATTGCTTTCTTAAAATAACCAAAGTCTTGGAAAAAGATTTGTTCTACGTTTATATCTTTCTTTATATCTTTCTTTTCATATTCAGAAAAAATGACGCTTTTGATGCCTATTTCAACATTCTGAATAGTTTGTTTATCATGAAAATATATATTATAAATCCCGTAAGGGTTTATTGGATTGCCTCTATTGAATTTATTTAGCGTATCTCTCTCTCCACTAAATTACAACGTTCTACAGTAAAAATTTAAGCTATACTAAATGCGTCTAAAATGACCTATATTTAAAAATGAGTTATACAAGTCTATAGCATGGACTAATGGACTACGTCTATACAACATTCTGTCCTGCAGAAATAATTATATAATCTAACTTTATTCAATCTCGTTTCTTTTTCCCTAACGTTTTTACTTGTTTTGCATGGCAACAATTCATAAAGCCGGTGATTCGGGTCGATCAAATCTTTAATCATCAGTATACATGCTTTGTTTCTGCGTTATTCCAGGGATTCCAGTTTACTCACGTTTAATTTGCTACTATAATCCCCATGTCCAGTATGTCCATATATAATATTAAGAGCCCTTCTCTGGACTCTTTCTGTATTGCCATTTGCATCTCGGTAAGTCCACCACTCCAGATATCAAGGACAGATCGAGTAACTGTGCAATAAAAATTTTAAAAAACTTTATTGCTTTGTTGCCTTTCTTACGATATATTCTGTGTTTTTCGCCCATTTAAAATCGTTATCGATCCATAATCCAAATAATTTATAAAAGATCACTCGAGATACTTGACAACCGGCAATATTAATCGGTGGTATATCTGTTTTACCCATTATCAAATTGCTTTATAAAATTGCTTTATTTTTCTTATAACTGCGAGAGCCGAGAAGTTTGCCCGGCAGATTCAAGGTGATATTTTTACCAGTGCAGGTAATACCAACTTATATATATTTGTTAATCCATGCTCAAGGCAAGTTTCAAAACTCTGCCGTCAGGGTGATGGTATAGATCAAATCATAAATGTGGTTTTCACCGCTGTTTTGTAGTAGACTAGCAATAAAGGATGTGTTAACGTGTTTGACGGTTTATATAATAAAAACTGGTATATACAGTAGTCCCCGTTTGGCTTCTCGAACTTTGGTTTCGAATCATAGATCAGCAAACTTTAAAATGTGAGAAGATAGCATTTTGACAACTGGAACTATCGAAATAAGTCAAATAATCGGTGTATAAATGTATAGTTGATTCTAAATTTTAAAAGATTATCTGTAGTGGCACGATCGTTGTTGATCAAGCTTTTTTAGTTCTTTTTGTACCATCTCTACATATTAACTTCAGTTAACTTTAATGTCCAGTTAACTTTGATGGTGTCGCTGCTTTAATCAGTATTTCATTATTGTATAAAGCAGGATTTTTTAGCAAATAAACGCATTAACTGCGGCAATCCAAATGTACGCGTAAATATAAACGTAATCTGACACCAACCCCAGTTAACTCGAATCTCCGGTAACTCGAACAATTTTTCTTTCGCCTTGGGAGTTGGAGTTAGTGGGGGAATACTGTAGCTAGACGTTTGAATATCGAATTTGAAATTAATAAGTGCACGGCAACCAGGTATACAATCCATCGCCATTATCGCTACTCTTCATGGTTTAATTAATGAAAGTAATCACAAAGATTAAATTCACGACCCAACGTTTCGACACTCCCGTCTAGTGTGTGGTTTCTGTGTGGAGTTTCTATATGATGAAGAAAGTTGCCGTAAAACCCTTTCACCCATTGGGATATATTTTCGCCAATGGGTGAAAAACATGTATCTATAATCTAAATCATATATCTGATTTCAAATGACGCCATCCAAATCGGAATGACGGAAATAAATCACCTCCCACAAGAATATTTAAATCAGATGACGTCATGTTGAAATCACATAAGAACCAAAGTAATAGGGAGTTTACTAGAGGAGTTTAATAGGGAGTTTACGATTCACGAGTTACGACGCGGCGAGCGCGACGATGCGTTTGCAAAACAAAGAAACTCCACGCGCGAGACAATATGTATCCATAATTTGGTCTCACAACAGCCTTGTCATTCTTACGACGCCTTCACAAATGAGCCATTTTCATCGCCTCTGGATGACTTGCAGCGGCGACGTAGTAATTTTTTGATAGCTTATATGAAACTGCAATATCAGAGTAGACATCGGAGGTTCTTAGCACAATTGAAAGGTTTGTATGATTACTTCAAAGCCTTGGCAGCATAATTAATTTCCTGTAGTTAATTTTTAATAAAATAATTGTAATAAAATAATAAAAATAACTATTGCGACGTCTACTTAACTGCGTCGTAAATCGTAAACTTCCTATTGTTTATGCATGCAAGCATGTTGATTGAAACTGATCCGCGGAAATTTATTGCGAAAATTAATTTTGCTCTTCCATAACAATTGAAACTTTTTACTATTAAAGGATATATTGGTGGAAAATTACAGTCGAAAAATGTTACGAAAAACAGCCACAAAATGACAAGTACATTGAAAACTGTTTCACATAAAAGGTAATTCGTATTTGCAGTATTATTATTATTTTTATTTTATAATTATGAAGAAGCACAATAGAGCTATGCACACCATAGTTTGAACCAACCTCAACGTTGACTTTGGAAAGAAAGATAGTAATTATTGTTTGTATATATGAGCGCCAAACGTGCTGGAAACTTTACATATGACAACCATTTGATCATTAAAACAGCATGGTTATCCGTGTCAAAATATTTGACATGATAACCAAAGCATAGTTATTTTGCTTTATGTTTGTATATATATGAGCATAAAACATGCTTGCAACTTTATATAGGACAAGCATTTGACCATTAAAACAGCGTGGTTTGTCTTATAATGTAATCTTTCCGCTTAAGACATACGAGAAGCCAACAACTACGGCGCCATAGTCAAAGGCTTGCAAGAGGAGCTTTTTTGGTTGTTTGTATTGTTTAATGTTTGTATATGAGTGCCCAAACATGCTGGAAACTTTACATAGGACAAGCATTTGACCATTAAAAAAGCGTGGTTATCCATGTCAAAATTTTTGACATCATAATTATCAAATCATGGTTAATTGGTTATCATGATTGTTTAATGTTTGTATATGAGCATGAAACATGCTTGCAACTTTACATAAGAATAGCATTTGACCATTAAAAAAGCGTGGTTATCCATGTCAAAACTTAGCATGGTTATATTGTTTTATAATAGGTGTCATAGTCAAACTTCAGGAGGAGCCTCTTTGTCAAACTAAACTTGTTGGCATGGAGGTTCACACGAGCAAATAAAACTTATGTCACAGAAAAATTGTAGTACATACACTCGTGCAATAGCCTGCTCGCAGACTGAATCTCTCCGTTTAATTTCCGGCCCCCTAATTCAGTCTGCGAGCAGGCTACTCATGCAATTGCCAATGAAAACTTGTCATATAAAAACTTGTCATAGAAAACTTGCTTGTCTGTAAGAGGCTTTATCCATATCAAAATATTTGATATCATAACCAAAGCATAGTGACATTGTTTAAGTGGAAATGCTAATGGATATAATTATTATAGTAGAGATATGCCTAGGTGCCTTTTTCACGTCAATATAGGGAGATTATAGGACACTATTCTTCGACTCCATTCCATGCAAATTAATCCAGGCAAAATACCGAATATACGTGAATCTATTCACCATATGTGAATTGCATGGTAAGCAGGGTTTCCATAACTTATTTACATATGACTGTCCTTACTCAGGGATGGCAATGACAAAAGAGAGAAACAAAGAACTTTTGAAAAGAATTCATAAAATTTGTATTAAAACAGGTCCGGCCCTCCCTCCCTCGTGGTTGTCGAGTGCAAGAAAATTTCGTTGCATTGTGGAAACCCTGCTGGGAAAACTAAAGCACACTTGCTTGAAACCAAGTAATCGGCTGCGAAACTATACAACACAACAATAATTGTAAGCTATTGGACTTAACAACAAAAACCACCCCCCCTTAAATATTGTTCTAGTTTCGGGCATGTAGCTAATGAGTGAACAATTATTCGCCGAAGTCGCAGTGAATATCTGCTGAAAACACGATCATAATATTATTTTTTGTCACCCAGGTCAAAATTAACCACATTACCAGAAAACAATGAACGATGGTGCGTCTTTGGAATTGCTCTCAACCATGTCGTCGTCCCTGCAATACGTCCTGTTCTAGAGCAGGAAATTCTCAAGGAGTACAACGACCTTAAATTAAACCATAATATTCATGTTCAGACCAGACACAGCTTTCCCTCGCCAAAATATACAACTGGTAATGCCATGAAATACGAGAACATCAACGGGAATGATACCAAGCTAAAAACCCCGCATCATAAAAAGTTTGATTACTCCAAGTTTGACTACAAAGTTACTTCCCATGTTGACTTTGCCAAGCTCTTTCTGCAGAATTACATGGCTAAGCTCAGCGCGTTCGACGAAACTTGTGATGCATCCGCTGTGCTTACTCTACTTGGAAGAATTCCAGTGTTTTCTGCTGCTCTCCAAAATGCGGCAAATGTTGTTAGAGAAGGTAGAAACGCTTGGGGTCATTGCAATTTTACTAAGTGGAATGAATCCAACTTCAAGAAGAGTTTTGACGACATGGAAAAACTGCTGAGAGAAGTTGGTTTATCTCCTGCAGATGAATCGAATGTTTTAGCGGATCTTAATGACTGGAAAGACAAAGGTATGTGTTTTTTATGTAACAAGACGCCGCCTGCTCAGGCGTTCACTCGTGCTACAGTTATCCCTCTTGTGCTTGTGACGCCTAATTTGGCATGTTCGTGACACCCGCGCGAGAAACGATCCTAGGACGATTTCTAGAACGACGTAAACTCGCGACTTAAAAGGAAAAAACGAGCCCATTTTTCAAACCTACCGTATCCCGAGCAAATTAAAGGCCCTGTTAGACGGTACAATTTTTCTTGCAACTTGCAATGTAATTTTACTTTAAAGTGATGTAAATAAGTGAAGAGGCTTCAAAATGTAAGTGTAAGAAACTTCCATGGAGTTTAATAAGCATAAACGTTTGGCAGTTGCCAAACCCACATCTCTCAAAAGAAGAAATGCATTGCAAATTGCAAGAAAAATTGCACCGTCTAACAGGGCCTTAATAAGCAAATTTTTTAGATTTGAAATTTTGCCCTAAAATTATTTTTACTGAAATTGTTGTTTTTCTTGTTTTAGGTGTTGCATTGTGTATGAATGCTTCAATTGATTCGGAGCTTGTTAAAGTAATGCAAGAACATGTTATTAAATTGTCAAGTGACGTGGACAAGATGCTTTGAGAGTGCAGAATTGTGTAACTGAAAGAATTTTAGAAATACTCACCAAAATTTACAAAATTGCGAGAAACGAGTGGAAAATATGGAGCTTACCCAGGATACTATGGAACAAGATCTAAGGTCTACTGCTGCCAATGTAAGCCAATTGAAAACCGAACAAGAAGTTCTTCAACAAGAACTGAGTTCTACAATTGACAAAGTAGATATGACATTGATCAGAAGTTTTCAAGAAGAAAGAGTTCTATTTCTGCCAGAGTTGAAATGCATCAGACCGCACATGAAGCCATTCAACACGTGTCACAAAAGAGGGACAAAATAGTTCTTACGGTATTGTTTAACTACTACATAACAATTGGTTATAATATCTTAGTAAAACTTCCTTAAGATAAAAGTGAAGAGGTGTAAATCGGACATTTTGTTCTCCTGTTTGTGCGATGAGAATTTGCCGTCAAAATACAAGTTTCTTCCTATTTGCGAATGTTTTGGACACACTATGCAGTAGTCTGTTCTATTTTTCGTCGACCAATTCTTTCGCACAAAATCATAGGAACCCCAATAAATATTTTTGAAATAATAAGTAAATAGTCCAGTTACGTTGCGAGTTCAGTGACGTCAGTGATCGCGAAGCATAAGATATAGTTATTGAGAAGGATGGAAACTCTTGTAATAATATAAACATACATACGAATTTCACTCGCAAAATTTCATATCAAAACAACGAAAATCCCTCAAATAAACTAACACAAATACATTTTAGATACTCGAACAACATTATTCCATTAAAAATATTTTAAAAAACAGATGAAAATGCACAAAAAATGTACAAAACTTTTGCCTATTTGCCGAAAAATATCGTGGGATCATGCGAGACATAAAATGCGATTTGAGGAACGAATCTGATTGGTCAAAAAAATAAACAAACGACGTGTGCTTGTCAAGCATACGGGGGGTAAAGTTAAAGTTTAAGGCAAGTTCAAAAAAATACCTCAAATATACTTTTTGGGGTTCCTATGACAAAATCAGAATGAAAATAAATGTTCACCACATTAGTAATGCAATAGTTTGAACAAAACATTGAAGACTTCCCCATGCAGTATGGCAGTATAGCATGCTGTTTAAGAACTAATGACCTGGTTAATCCATAAATGAAATCATTTAAATAAGTACTTTGATATTTCTAGTTTTCTCCGATTGTACTTCTGACATTCAATATTTTGCCGGACGATACGATCCAGACACAAGACATTGGTTCCTGGAAGATTTCAACACGTGGTTCAGTGATTCTGATAACTCCAGAGCCTATGTACTGCTGGGTGATGCCGCAGTTGGTAAAAGTGTCATGGCTGCTGTCGTTGCTCAGAGAGCAAAGAAGGATGGAAACATGGCAGCTGCGTACTTTTGTCGTCACTACGATGGCACACGTCGTGATCCCAGGTATCTGCTTGGTACTATCGCTTATCAACTGTGTAATTGTAATAGTCAATATGATAGAGTTGTGGGAGGGGAATTCGGGATACAAAATATGTTCGCTAATGCTAAGCTAGGAGTTCACGAGCTGTTTACAAAATTGCTAGAAGAGCCATTAAGTAAATGCGGTCGTGTTGCAAAAAAACTTGTTGTGATTGATGCACTAGATGAGGCAGAATATTGGTCCAGAGAAGATTTTCTTGATCTCATAATGAACCGCTTCCCTATGCTTCCTAAATGGCTTGTTTTTTTCATTACTAGTCGTCCGGAAGACTCCGTGCAGTTTAGACTGAAAACGTACAACCCATGTATTAGGATTTGTGCAGGAAATAGCGACAGCGCAGGCTTTTATCAGCAGCATAAACAGGATATTCAGCGTTTTTTTGAGAAAAATGTGCAGTTCACGGGCCTGTCGTACTCTGCTGAAGAGCTAACGGAAAAATGCGATGGAATGTTTTTGTACGCTTTTTACCTTGTGGAAATTCTTAAAAACACGACACAATTGGGTAGTGATCTTTTCGCTAGAAATATCAACGATTTCTTTTACAATAATTTTAAACGTGTTTACAAAAAAGTAGGCGGAGACGTTTATACGAAATTGTTTGGTTGTGCTTTGGTGGCGCCTTCTCCACTTCCCGTTTCATTCATTTCGTTTCTTTTAGAAAGAGAAAACTCCGCTCTTGATAAGCAGGAAGTAATTGACGCTGTCTCACATTTTGTTGCATTGCGAACTTCAGATAAAACCTTTGCATTTCTCCATAGTTTGATCCCGGCCTGGTTAATTGATGAGGAAACGGCCTCTCGAATGCTGTTTATTGACCGACGTAAGGCAAGCAATTTATTCAAAAATATTGTCGTCGAATTCTTAAGTGATTTTATACAGGAAAGATGGGACAATTTGTCCTATTACGAGCCGGATTTAGTAAATTATATTTCGTGTTTTGGCTTTCGCTTCTTAATCAGTGAAGATTCTAGGAGCTCTGAAGTCGTATTCAATGCTTTGACAAACTATCGGTTTCTTGAACAGCGAATACGAAGCAATAGAATCGGAATTTACTCTCTTATAGAAGACTTAGAGATATCTTTAGGCAAGCTAATGTTTGGTCAAAGGGAAAAGAAGAATCTTGAGGATATCTGCTTCGTTCTTAAACAAGACAAATATATTGTTAACGGTTGTCCTGAACTTCTTTATTCCTGTCTTCGTAATCACCCTGAACTAACCCGTGCAGATTTTAACCCTGCGTCAGCCTGTTGGATGGAATCAGGCGTTAGAATTTCTTTCAATGCAAAAACTGTTCTCAATAGCATGGATTGTTTTGCGTTTTCCCATGATAAGACACTGTTTGCTGTAGGAAAACAGGGATGTCTTTATTTGTGTAAAACACGTTCTTTTGATTTGAGTTTAGGACCTTTTCATGTGATGGATGAATCTATATCGCATTTGACATTTTTTCCTGATGACAAATATGTTTTTTTTGGAAGGCTTGATCGATGTTTTTCAGTGCAGGAGAAACGTGTCGTTGAAATGTCACAATTTTCAGGTAATTCTAAAAATTAAATTATATTATCGCTGGGGTTCGTTTATTCATGACGGTAAATATATTGCGCTAACGAGGGAGAATTTTGACTTTCAAAGTTGCTGGTGTTTTTTGTACATATTCTTAAGGTGGGGCGAACACGAGCGTGATTTGGTTGACGCCATCTCACAAACACAGGACAATAACTTCGATATTATCAAACGTGAGGTTGTATGTGAACACAAGTGGCCATGCATAGGCTTATGGGCTGAATTTGAATGGCTTAAAACGTCTGTTCGTAATCGAATTGTAGTTCTTTATGCTGACTTATTTGAGCATCAAATCTGGAATGTGCAAACTGGGAGACCTGTGGTAGAAGAGATGTTTTCGTTGCAGTTAGAGCCATTCTGTTATGTTTGGCATTTCCATTCCACAATAAATCGCTTTGAAGAAACGATTGGTGAGATTTCATTGTTTCATTTCGTTATTTATAATATGTACCACTTGTATGCACAAAGTAACGTATGGAAACCGCTGGGCCCATTGAATGCAATAAGTAACGCATTGTTTCCAGTGGTGTTAAGAAAACTGAAAGATGAACACAGCGTAGCAGAGCGCCCACGGAATGAACACATTTTGCGTCTCATCCAAAAAACATCCGCAGAATGTTATGACCAGCTTTTAATGCCAACTAGTCAAATTCAATTTCTTTCAAAAAATGGGAGATGGCTTGCGAAACGCGAAGATAATAACATTGAAATCTTTGAAAAAGTAAGAGAAAGTGAAATTTCAAGATGGAAAAGCAAATATTTGCCTCCAGATTCCTATAATTGTGCTTTTACAAATGATAGTAATTTGTTTGTCTATTCCAGAGGAAATGAACTGTACGCTGTTTCTTTGGAAACTTGCACCGAATTTTGCAGTATTTCGGGGGCAGATGCTGTGCATTTTGCATCTGAAGATGGTGAGGAGGATGGGTATATTTTTCTTAGAGATGATGAAAGAAGAATCGTTATGTTGACTGATTTACCTGCAAATTATCTTCGCCATTTGTGGCCTCGTACTAGACATGATATATCATTGAGTGGTAAGCCAGTTGATGTTTCCTTCACATCAGCTGATACAATGATGTTGCTTCACTCAGACGGAATGTGCAAATTGTGGAAAGTAGAGCAGGATATGTTGGTATCAGAGGACAAAAAGGCTCAACAAATAATCACAAAGAATTCACAAACAATCTCGGTAAAGGGAAGTGTTTTCTCCCCTAATGGAAAGTTAATTGCCTTAATTGCCAAAAGTTGCGAATTATTGTTATTTAGATCTGGTAAGCTTCTTTACCCTGTTTTCGAATTTCAGAGCAGTGTGAACACTGTTCCTTGTTTTGTATTTTCACCTGATGGCTCTTTGCTTGCTTTCTGTGTCCAATATGGCAGTGATAATCAGTCTTTCTACGTGTTCGACGTCAACACTAAGGCTATGACTGGCCCCATTCTTCCTCCCTTTCCATTCTGTTTAATACGCTTTGACTGCTTTTGCTTCTGTTCAGAGAACACCAAACTGTGTTTTTGCAGTATTTCTGGTATCCTTGTTTTAGAGTATGCAACACTAGAGAGATGCTCTAATCTTACTTTCCCAAATTACGCAGCGTTGGACAAATGTGGTCACTGTACTGTCTCATCTGATAACAAAATGCTAGCTTGTTGCATTGCTAATGATATTTTAATATTTCCACTCAACGGGCAAGACACATTTTGTAAAATACCACAAAATCATTCAGGTAAAATAGAATATTGTGAATTTTTGAGAGGGAATCGTTACCTGATATCATACGGTATCGATGGTGTTGTGTTTTTGTTTGACCTTCTTGAATGGAAATCAATTGCATATCGAAGGCAGGAGTCTATAGTTAGAATAGCAATGTCTCCTGATGAGGAATAAACTTGCTTGCCTTTATTCTTCTGGTTATGTAAATATCATAAGACTTTATGGGTTGAAAACAGGATTGCCTCAAAATTTCCA